CCTTTGCTATTTGTGCTTGGGGATCAACTGCAGCAACACACCTAAAGCCAATAATAACCCAACAGAAAGCTGCAGTAAGAATATTCACTAAATCCCATCCCTGGCAACACCCCCCCCCACTCTTCATAGATCTAAACTTACTCCCTGTTCAGTACATCCACACTTACTACTGTGCAATCTACATCTACCTTAAATTCCAATATTAACCTTGACCTGAAACGCTTTCTTGATAGTTGTGACAGAACCCACAGGCATAACACCAGACACAAACATCTCTATGACATTCCCCGTGTCCGACTAAACCTTTACAAAAATTCAATGTATGTCAAAGGCCCTAAAATTTGGAACACCCTACCTGAAAACTCTAGAACTGCAGACACATTCATCACCTTCAAAACTACCATTAGAACATCTTATCTCCCTGATACACCCCGTCAACTAACTATACGAATACCACCTGGTGGTTCACACTTACACTCACTCACCCATTTGTCCATAAACAGAAATATTAATCTCAATCTTAAAATAATGAATCCAAACTAGTCATAAGTTGGCCTGTGATACTCCAATACTGAAACTATGTACTATGCCAAAACAAAAGCATTCACATTGCTAAACTCACAAACTAGTATTTAGTCACTTAGCCATAATACCAACTTACCTCATAATTTGTAATATTTTAAAATTAAGAATTAAACTAAGTCTGCCCGAAATGCCTAGCCATGCTAGGTGTTTTAGTGATACACTCTGTAATTATTATTTTACTACATGTAAACCACACAATAACCAAATTCTGTATACTCAGCATTGTAATCCTTATAGAGAATAAACTTTGAATTGAATTGAATTTGAATTGAATTGAATTGAATTGAATTGATGATAATGTGCTTATGGGAGATTCTAAGGAAAAATTGCAAAGGTTAGTGGATGAGTTTGGGAGTGTGTGTAAAGGTAGAGAGTTGAAAGTGAACATAGAAAAGAGTAAGGTGATGAGGGTATCAAATGATTTAGATAATTGCCGAAGTAATTCGCAGCCATCTTGACAGGCACAGATTGATTAATGAATCTCAACACGGTTTTACGAAGGGGCTTTCCTGTCTTAAGAATTTACTAACTTTTTTCACTAAGGTGTTTGAGGAGGTAGATCATGGTAATGAATATGATATTGTGTATATGGACTTCAGTAAGGCTTTCGATAGAGTTCCACACCAGAGGCTATTGAGGAAACCTAAGGCACATGCAATAGGAGGAGAAATTTTTTCCTGGGAAGAGGCATGGCTGACAAATACACAGCAGAGAGTTTGCATAAATGGGGAGAAATCAGAATGGGGGCACGTCACAAGCGGTGGGCCCGTTGTTATTCACAATTTACATAAATGACAGATGAGAGAATAAATAGTGACATAAGCAAATTTGCTGATGACACCAAAATAGGCCTTCCAATTCATTCTAATGAGGACACTAGAGCACTCCAGGATGATTTGAATAGACTGATGCAATGGTCGGAGAAGTGGCAGATGCAGTTTAATATTGACAAATGCAAAGTTCTAAATGTTGGACAGTTAACCCCTTGACTGTCGCAACCCTCAATCCAGAGGTGTCTCCTGGTGTTGCAAAATTTAAAAAAAAAAAAAATTTCTTATGAAATGATAGAGAATCTTTTCCCGATTGTAAAGACACTAAAAAAACGAAATTTGATGGAAAACTGACGGAATTACGCTCTCGCGAAGTTAGCGACCTCGGTGATATTTACAAATCGGTGATTTCGCCCACTTTGAGCCCTATTTTCAGCTAATTCCATTATTCCAGTCAACCAAACTCATAGCTATTTCTTCAGAACTCCATTTTTTCTATCGATTGAGTACAAGAAACTGCGCATTTACCGATTTCAACTACCCAATAACATGGTCAGAAATTTGCAATTTGGCCAATTTCACGAAAATTAAAAATTATGACAATTTCCAAATAAGGACCAGAATGAACAATGCAGACATTCCTGGCTCTAAAATAACATTTTCTTTGTTCATCAGTCATGTCTCCAGGCCCCTCTGATATTACTCTTGCTTTTTATTTTGAAATTTTATTCAAACAAAAAATAGAAGATTTACTGTTATGCAGACTACTGCAATACTGTAATAATTGTAAAAATTACATCAACCCATTCATGACTGCATATTAGAATGACTATTTGGACATTTATTGGACAATGACATCATTTGTTTACTTTTGAACATCGGCAAAAATCAAACATTTCCCGTACTTTGTGCTCCATTTCCAGGTTCTTTTTATAGTAAAATCAATCAAAATCACCTCTATTTCTATAATATATTTTCCATTCTATCAAATGAGACCAAGAAAACGAGAATACATCCATAAATACTATACGAAAATAGACCACAAAGTCGGCATTTTAAGTAAAAAAAACGGTCGGAGTTTTTTTTTCTCATTATGCACTGCGTGCTCCAGGATTTTTTTTTATATGGTGCACACTGACCACACACACCCATTCTCTCACATGTGGGCCTACCAGCTTTCTCCTGCTTGATTTGAAGCCGCTAGAATTTATGAGTATATATACGTCAAACACGGTACCTCATAAGACGTATATATATGGCTGCGACAGTCAAAGGGTTAAATAACCATGCCACATATAAACTAAATAATAGATATTAATACTACTGATTGCAAAAAGGATTTTGGAATTCTGGTTAGCAGTAATCTAAAACCAAGACAACAGTGCATTAGTGTTCGCAGTAAAGCTAACAGAATTCTTGGCTTCATATCTAGAAGTATAAATAATAGAAGTCCTCAGGTTGTTCTTCAACTCTATATATCCTTGGTTAGGCCCCATTTAGACTATACTTCTCAGTTCTGGTCACCGTATTACAGAATGGATATAAATGCTCTGGAAAACGTACAGAGGAGGATGACAAAGATGATCCCATGTATCAGAAATCTTCCCTATGAGGATAGACTGAGGGCCCTGAATCTGCACTCTCTCGAAAGGCGTAGAATTAGGGGGGATATGTTTGAGGTGTATAAATGGAAAACAGGAATAAATAAAGGGGATGTAAATAGCGTGCTGAAAATTTCCAGCCAAGACAGGACTCGCAGCAATGGTTTCAAGTTGGAAAAATTCAGATTCAGGAAGGATATAGGAAAGCACTGGTTTGGTAATAGAGTTGTGGATGAGTGGAACAAACTTCCGAGTACAGTTATTCAGGCTAAAACGTTGTGTAGTTTTAAAAATAGGTTAGATAAGTACATGAGTGGGTGTGGGTGGGTGCGAGTTGGACCTGACTAACTTGTGCTGCTGGGTCTGGTGCAGTGCTCCATCCTTGAGTGGAGGTGACGAGACTGGGTGGGTCATTGGGCTAATCCGGGGGGGGGGTCATTGGTCTAATCCGGGGGGGGGGGATATGGACCTGCTCCGCATGGGTCACTAGGCCTGTTGCAGTGTTCCTTCTTTCTTATGTTCTTATGTTCTTATAAAGAAAAATTGGATATCAAATTGGGGAGGAGGAGTATGGAAGAAGTGAATGTTTTCAGATACTAGGGAGTTGACGTGTCAGCGGATGGATTTATGAAGGATGAGGTTAATCATAGAATTGATGAGGGAAAAAAGGTGAGTGGTGCGTTGAAGTATATGTGGAGACAAAAAACGTTATCTATGGAGGCAAAGAAGGGAATGTATGAAAGTATAGTAGTACCAACACTCTTATATGGGTGTGAAGCTTGGGTTGTGAATGCAGCAGCGAGGAGGTGGTTGGAGGCAATGGAGATGTCCTGTCTAAGGGCAATGTGTGGTGTAAATATTATGCAGAAAATTCGGAGTGTGGAAATTAGGAGAAGGTGTGGAGTTAATAAAAGTATTAGTCAGAGGGCAGAAGAGGGGTTGTTGAGGTGGTTTGGTCATTTAGAGAGAATGGATCAAAGTAGAATGACATGGAGAGCGTATAAATCTTTAGGGAAAGGAAGGCGGGGTAGGGGTCGTCCTTGAAAAGGTTGGAAGGAAGGGGTAAGGGAGGTTTTGTGGGCGAGGGGCTTGGACTTCCAGCAGGCGTGCATGAGCGTGTTCGATAGGAGTGAATGGAGACGAATGGTATTTGGGACCTGACGATCTGTTGGAGTGTGAGCAGGGTAATATTTAGTGAAGGGATTCAGGGAAACCGTTTTTTTTATATAGTCGGACTTGAGTCTTGGAAATGGGAAGTACGATGCCTGCACTTTAAAGGAGGGGTTCGGGATATTAGCAGTTTGGAGGGATATGTTGTGTATCTTTATACGTAGCATATGCTTCTAAACTGTTGTGTTCTGAGCACCTCTGCAAAAACAGTGAAGTGAGGTGAAAGTGTTGAACGATGATGAAAGTATTTTCTTTTTAGGGATTTTCTTTCTTTTTGGGTCACCCTGCCTCGGTGGGAGACAGCCGACTTGTTAAAAAAAAAAAAATTACATTTTATGCATTTTGAATGTATAAACTCATTTGTGTTTCACTTTTTAAATGAAGTAGTGCAAAATCAGCTATCAAATACATTCAGTTTGATGAAACTTGTTAGGTCGGCATAGATGAATGGTTAGCACACTGACCTGTGAGTTTTAGGACTCGCTGTAAGTTAGAGCCCCACCAGTACAGTATAGTATTTGCATAATTTTATTTTTAAAAGCATACTTTTAATATTGCATTATATTAAAAAAGTTGAATGAAAGTCACAATTCTGTTGTTGGAACAATTCACAAATAACTATGACTACCATTATTGTTATGACTGGTACTTCTACCACCACCACCAATATTTTTACTACTACAGCTACTACAATTGCCACTGCCACCACCATTTCCTTCTTCATGGCTTGTCTTCTGGTCTTCTCAGTTTTTCTTGCTTTGCTGTAACTTAATATTAATCCAGAATTGACTGAAATGTTATTTAAAGTTTACTCTCTGAGTGTGGTTGTTTCTTAAAATCAATTAATGGTTTAAATGGTCCTTTCTTCTATCAGTGTTGGTAGAGCGTGTGTTTCTTCGAATAGGCTCTGCAGCAACTGATGATGTTTTACAGGAAGAGTTACTTAAATTCCTAGCACCTGTCATCTTGAAATTGGCCTCTCCACATGAACCTGTTCGGAAGAAGGTATGTACTTTATATGCAATGCATTATATTTCTTCTTCCTTGTTTAATGTACTTCAGCTGCTCTGAATACACTAAACTACAATGTACTGTACTGTATAATGTAATCAGTACTTGCTCAATATACATAATGTGAAATTTACCATGAACCATAAGATAGCTCTTTTATTTATAATATGGTATAGTAATTTTGTATTGCTTATTTATTTCTAAGGTGATGGAGTTGTTGATACATGTTAACCGTCGAGTTAAAGATCATGAAAGTATCCAGCTGCCAGTGGAATCTCTCTTGGCTCAGTATCAGGATCCAAGCGCTACAGCATTTGTCACTGTAACTGTTTTCGTTTTTATTTGTAATAATGAATTTTGTGATTAGTATATTATGCCCAGTAGAAAATATGTGACTTTCTGTAGATATTTCATGCATAATATTATTCACTTTTTGCGGTATCCAAGTCTTTTAAGGTACAGTCTTAACTACAGCAATCTTTTACAGAAATGTATTAATTTTTTTAATCTTTGTAGAAAATTGGGGAATTTCTTTTATTTTGAGTAATTCTTGGGTCTGACAGTAGACTTGTTCTGTAGCATGTCATGTAAGAGCTTGTAGGTTATTGTAGCATTAATTACGATTTGTATTTTATATGCAATACTTACTTTTTTTTTTTTTTTTTTTTTTTCCAAGAATTTCTCTATAATCTACATAAAGATGGGATATCCAAGACTGGACCTGAATAAGCAGGTAGAGCTCCTACCCTCCATGCTTAACAGTCTGGAAGGCAAACCCTCTCAGCATCAGGACAGGTAATTGTTTTATCTAGAAGATGATAGAATGCTTACAGAATGTTCATATATACATACTTTGTCATCTGTGTATTTACACTGTGCTTATACTATATAAAACAACATTGTACAGTACTATTAACTAAGATAATTAAATTTTCCTTAGTCTTCTACTATTGATGGTGCCAGTATTTGGTCATATGAAGATTCCTGAAACAGCCGAGAAAACTGCATCATTATTTGGTCTGCGGGAGAGACCAGGAGTTGCTAAGCTCCTGCTTGACTTTATGCTGGATATTTTGCTCCTTCCTTATGGGTCAGTCATTTTGTATTCTGCTTGATTGAGGAGACTTGAATGACACTTATTGTGTATATTTGTCCTTAAGTAAAGGAAAAAAAATTCTAATGAAGGTGCTTACATTCCTTTTGAGAGAAGAAATTATTTCATATTTGAAAGGAACATTAGGTAATAAATGATATAGTTGTTTGGATAAAAGAATTATCAAAGTGAATAGCATTCATAGGTTATGGAAATGTTTATGAGAAACTTACATTGGGAGTGTGTAAGAAGACTTAAGGTTTGATAATTGTGCAGTGACTTGAAATAAAAGTACTGTATATATATTTAAATGTTGGAAGTACTGAAATTTTATATGTAATTTTGTTGGTATTGAATATAGTCAATTCTGTTATGTCATATTGCATTTTGTGTGTGTTTTATACACATTTTTTTTTTCCTTAGTGCTACACCACTGTCTCAACAAAGGGCAAGTGATGGAGCTCAGGATAATTCTGAGGGTCCTCCAGTGCCTGGTGTACCAGCAGGAATGAGCATCCACACCTTTAAAAGAGTCACAGGAGAAACTGCACCTAAACCTGAAGATCTAGAGAAGCTTAAGGTTTCTGTTATTAGGTTTTTAAGTTCTGAGGTATTGCCACCTTCCTCAGTTGTATTGCAGTTGATTATAGGAGCAGCTGATACAAGGTTTTCTGTGGCTAATGCAGCAGATCTACAGCTTAAGAGAATAGATGGCAGCGTTGACTGGAACAGCAGTTCAGTAATTGCACCCCTCTATGTTCTTTTTCTTGGCACACTTATGCCAAAAGATAAAACTCCAGCAGATAAATTTAAAAATCCTGCAAATACAAGAATTCGACTGAAGCTTATGCCATATCTATTAAAGTCAAAAGAAGCGTGTAATTATGCCCCACTCGCTCTGAAAGTGTTCTTCGAGTGCCTTTGGGGACAAAATTCAAATACGAAGCTGAAGCAGCAGGGTGTAACATTTCTACACCACATTGCATTCAATGCTGATAAAGATAAGTTATCTCCAGTGGGAAGTGTACTGTTTGGTGGAGTTGTTAAGGTTATTGAAGAAGAAAAGTGTGATGCAAGGCTACGGTCATTAGCATATGGAGCTTTGGCAAAATTATCCGTTAAACTTCCAAACCTCCTGTTGTCGCATCCCTCGCAGCTTCATTACCTGCAGACCCTGATGAATGCACTAACACAGGAAGAAGGAGATGTCTTATTGGCTGTGCAGGAGGCTCTGTCAATGGTTGCACCTGTCTGTAAACAGCTTAATACGTCAAGCCAAGATGAACTTTGTGTCCTCTTGTCTGAGCATGTGCTGCATCATAATGCTCAGCTAAGGCGTACAGCTGTTCATTATGCAGCATCAGTATTTCCTAATGATCATGTTCCTTCGAGGTTCATTCTCATGGTGGCTACAGGAGACAGGTAAACCCCATTATAAATTCCTCAGTATGGTTTTCATTAAAAGTTTTAAGATATACTCATCCACATATGTGCTTCTTTGTGATATGTCAATAGAGATTGGGTTTCATGACTGTAATTCTTATAATTCTTGCTAACCAGCCATGATGACATTCGTATAGAGTCCAGAAGACAGTTATACAAGGCAGCTAAAGAGGCCAAAGATGGAACACCATCATTCCAAGCACCACCATTCTCTGCTGTTATTAGCTATGTTCTGGAGCGTGTAGATTCACTCCCAAGAAGTAAATGGCATGATGTTGCAAATCAGCCTGTTCCGTTTTCTCTTCCAGTAATGGAACAGGTATGTTAGTACTGTATAGTAAATTGTTTCGGCCACAGTATTGTGGCTTTTTATTCTTTATTACATGATGTTCTTCATCAGTCATCTAGAAATAGTGCTGTAGTTACTAGGAACTTTACAGCATACATTTATAGAATACTGCCCTTACAACACTAAGTACACTTTCTTCTTGTACACTGCCAATGACTTATGTTTACTTTACACACTTTACATTGAATAACCACTATCAATCTTTCATCAATAAGTGTTCTTTATCTTGAAGTAACATTTGGTGTTTAGTAGAAATGCAGATTTATTCAGTAGTTAAAGCTGCTTCTAAAGAGGCTTGGAATCTTGTTTGGTTTTAGCACCTAGTTTTCAATTAATTAACATCCTAAGTGGCATATCTGTTTTATTTTAAAGTTCTCTACATTATATATTGCTGGTAGGTTTCTTGAAATATGAAATTTTATTCAGGTCTGAGTAAAAATTTTAGGGTTTAAGTTTTCCCCATGTCATAGCTCCTGTCAGTTATGACATGTAATGATCACTACTACTAGTTAGTACTGTACTGTACCATTTTTTATGCTATATAAGATGCGATTTTTTCACTCATGAAAACTAAGTTCTAAAAACACACCCTGTATCTTGTATGGCCCGTTAACTGTAGTAACAGTAGAGTGCATGTTTGATAATGAACATTAAAAGTGTTTTCCACAAGAATTCCTCCTAAAATTAAGGTGGGTCAAATGTATTGGTGTATCTTATATGATGGAAAATGTGATATTTAATCAGTGCCTCATATACTAGAGTACTGAATAGTCTTGTGTGTAAGTCAACCCGATTAATTTTTTTCACACATCTCGTGTAAATCTGTCTTGGATGTAGAAGAGCAGTAGAACAACATTTGAGAATTATAGTATTGAACTGGGGTTTGGTAGTGTTGGTATCACCATATCAAAGATGGATATTGTGCTCTGTTACTTGCTATGCCTCCCAAAAAATAGTAACCCAGTCTAATGTTTTCTTTTACCAAAGTTTAGTTTGATACTCAAATATAAAGAAACAAATCAACTTAAATTAAAACCAATCTCTTAATTGAACTGGTTTTGTGTTTGAGTCACTATATCAAAGTCATTTGCTCAGTGATTTGTTTGATATGGAAATTTTATGGACATTTATCAGTGTTCCTTGCTGTTCTTCTTAGCTTCCTCACTCTCTGCAAGGAATACCATTTTAGCTTTCTGAATACTTTTTATAATATTATTAATGCTACCAGTATAATATTAAGAGTATTTATTCAACATTTCTAATCCTTCCATCCTTCCTATGGCTTCATAAGACAAACAAAAATTGAGAGGATTGCCAATGTAACATCATGCAAAACATTTTACAAGATGCTCAAGACACAATAAAAATGAGTGAAATATCTTTCACATAAAATCTTACCACTTGTTTAAGTCTGTGAGGTGATTAACAGTGCCATATTTTTATACTGTGAAACTGTTGCTGGCCAACAAAGTATTTAGACTTCCACAAGTTTCCAGTCCAAAGAGTGGCATTAGCAGAACATAAATTTGATCACATATTCTAGTATGCAGGTCATGTGGAGTCAGTTAAATGCCCTAAAGATTGGGCAGGTATGGCCATTATTTGGTTTGCAAGTGAAATGCTGACCCCAGGGTAAAAATGTTGCCACAGTTATCAAAATATTAATAAACATTTATTTTTTTACCAAAACTGACTAATGTTGTGCCCCTTAATTAAATAAATTTTTAAAGTTTTAGACACACATGCAACATCTGGATATCTTCATTTGTAGACATTTCACCATCCAGTGCCTTTATCAATATTTTTACAAATAAAGATATCCAGATGTGCCACGTGTCTAATTTTTCATCTTGTCGGTATCGCATTCCACAAATCAGTTTTAAGCCTGAGCTAAAAAAAAAAAACTGACTATGGTGTAATTAAATTTCTTCGTATTTTTTCATCCAGATGCTGAAATATTTAGAGCATTGCTTAGAAGTTGAAGCAGGCAATCAGAGTGGGCGTGAGGAAGGATTATTCTGGTCTGACCCACCTGCTGTAGGAAGACTGGTACACAAGATTGTAGGAGAACACCAGCAAAAAGTGACTTCAGGAGCTATAGTTAGAGGTAGGTGAGGCACATCGTAATATTATCCAATGAAAGAGGAGTATTGTAATAAGCTTTATTAGTACAGTATTTTTTTTCCACTACAATATTACCCTTCATATATTTTCTATTTCAAACTTTGTGCACAATCTCTACCCTTGCAAACACAACCTCACAATCTTACATAATCTTTCTTCTTTCAACACACTGGCCGTATCCCACTGAGGCGGGGTGGCCCAAAAGGAAAAACGAAAGTTTCTCCTTTAACATTTAGTAATATATGCAGGAGAAGGGGTTACTAGCCCCTTGCTCCTGGCATTTTAATCACCTCTTACAACATGCATGGCTTAATGAGGAAGAATTCTGATCCACTTCCCCATGGAGATAAGAGGAAATAGACAAGAACAAGAACTAGAAAGAAAATAGAAGAAAACCCAGAGGGGTATGTATATATGTGCTTGTACATGTATGTGCAGTGTGACCTAAGTGTAAGTAGAAGTAGCAAGATGTACCTGAAATCTTGCATTAATATTATAGGTTGTAAGTTGGTAAACAGCAACCGCCTGGGAAGTATTACCGTACTTCCAAGTGAGTGTAAAATGAAAGCCTGTATTTGTTTTACATGATGGTAGGATTGCTGATGTCTTTTTTCTGTCTCATAAACATGCAAGATTTCAGGTACATCTTGCTACTTCTACTTACACTTAGGTCACACTACACGTGCATGTACACGTTTATGTATACACACTCATCTGAGTTTTCTTTGATTTTATTTTAATAGTTCTTGTTCCTTTTACTTTTCCTTTCATATCCATGAGGAAGTGGAATAAGAATCTTTCCTCCGTAAGCCATGCTTATTGTAAAAGTCAATTAAAATGCCAGGAGCAGTGGGCTAGTAACCCTTTTTACTGTATAGCCTACTAAAAAGAGAAAGAAGAAAACCATCAAAGTGGGATGTTTGAATGTGCAAGCGTGGGTGTAGTGCGAATGATAAGAAAGAGATGATTGTGAATGTTATGACTGAAAAGAAGCTGGATGTCCTGGCTCTAAGTGAAACAAAGCTGAAGGGAATACGAGAGTTTCAGTGGGGAGAAATAAATGGGATTAGGTCAGGGGTTTCTAATAGAGTTAATAGCTAAGGAAGGAGTAGCAATAATGTTGAAGGATAAGTTATGGCAGGAAAAGAGGGAATGTAATGTATAAATTCAAGGATTATGTGGAGTAAAATAATTGTTGGATGTGAAAAGTGGGTTATAGTAAGTCTTTATGCACCTGGAGAAGAAAGAAATGTAGAGGAGAGAGATTTTGGGAAATGTTGAGTGAGTGTGTGGGGAGTTTTGAACCAAGTGAGAGAGTATTTGTGATTGGGGATCTTAATGCTAAAGTGGGTAAAAATGTAATAGAGGGAGTAGTAGGTAAATTTGGGGTGCCAGGGGTAAATGAAAATGGGGAGCCTTTAATTGAACTATGTGTAGAAAGAGGTTTGGTAATAAGTAATGCATTTTTTTTTTTTCTCCAACAAGTTGGCCGTCTCCCACCGAAGCAGGGTGACTCAAAAAAGAAAGAAAATCCTCAAAAAGAAAATGCTTTCATCATCATTCAACACTTTCACCACACTCACACATAATCACTGTTTTTGCAGAGGTGCTCAGAATACAACAGTTTAGAAGCATATACGTATAAAGATACACAACATATCCCTCCAAACTACCAATATCCCAAACCCCTCCTTTAAAGTGCAGGCATTGTACTTCCCATTTCCAGGACTCAAGTCCGACTATATGAAAATAACCGGTTTCCCTGAATCCCTTCACTAAATATTACCCTGCTCACACTCCAACAGATCGTCAGGTCCCAAGTACCATTCGTCTCCATTCACTCCTATCTAACACGCTCACGCACGCTTGCTGGAAGTCCAAGCCCCTTGCCCACAAAACCTCCTTTACCCCCTCTCTCCAACCCTTTCGAGGACGACCCCTACCTCGCCTTCCTTCCCCTATAGATTTATATGCTTTCCATGTCATTCTACTTTGATCCATTCTCTCTAAATGACCAAACCACCTCAACAACCCCTCTTCTGCCCTCTGACTAATACTTTTATTAACTCCACACCTTTTCCTAATTTCCACACTCCAAATTTTCTGCATAATATTTACACCACACATTGCCCTTAGACAGGACATCTCCACTGCCTCCAACCGTCTCCTCGCTGCTGCATTTACCACCCAAGCTTCACACCCATATAAGAGTGTTGGTACTACTATACTTTCATACATTCCCTTCTTTGCCTCCATAGATAACATTTTTTGACTCCACATATTCCTCAATGCACCACTCACCTTTTTTCCCTCATCAATTCTATGATTAACCTCATCCTTCATAAATCCATCCGCCGACACGTCAACTCCCAAGTATCTGAAAACATTTACTTCTTCCATACTCCTCCTCCCCAATTTGATATCCAATTTTTCTTTATCTAAATCATTTGATACCCTCATCACCTTACTCTTTTCTATGTTCACTTTCAACTTTCTACCTTTACACACATTCCCAAACTCATCCACTAACCTTTGCAATTTTTCTTTAGAATCTCCCATAAGCATAGTATCATCAGCAAAAAGTAACTGTGTTAATTCCCATTTTGAATTTGATTCCCCATAATTTAATCCCACCCCTCTCCCGAACACCCTAGCATTTACTTCTTTTACAACCCCATCTATAAATATATTAAACAACCATGGTGACATTACACATCCCTGTCTAAGACCTACTTTTACCGGGAAGTAGTCTCCCTCTCTTCTACACACCCTAGCCTGAGCCTCACTATCCTCATAAAAACTCTTTACAGCATTTAGTAACTTACCACCTATTCCATATACTTGCAACATATGCCACATTGCTCCCCTATCCACTCTATCATATGCCTTTTCTAAATCCATAAATGCAATAAAAACTTCCCTACCTTTATCTAAATACTGTTCACATATATGCTTCAATGTAAACACTTGATCTACACATCCCCTACCCACTCTGAAACCTCCTTGCTCATCCGCAATCCTACATTCTGTCTTACCTCTAATTCTTTCAATTATAACCCTACCATACACTTTTCCTGGTATACTCAATAAACTTATTCCTCTATAATTTTTACAATCTCTTTTGTCCCCTTTCCCTTTATATAAAGGGACTATACATGCTCTCTGCCAATATTTTATGAAAAAGAGGATAAATAGGTATACAAGATATATAGTGCATAATGAAAGTAGTTTGTTAGATTATGTATTGGTAGATAAAAGGTTGATGGGTAGGCTTCAGGATGTACATATTTATAGAGGGGCAACAGATATTTCGGATCATTATCTAGTTGTAGCTACAGTTAGAATAAGAAGTAGATGGGACAAAAGGAAAATGTTAACAGTAATAGAAAGGTGAAAGTTTATAAACTAAGTGAGGAGGAAGTTAGGGTGAGATATAAGCAACTATTGGCAGAAAGGTGGGCTAGTGTAAGTATGGGTAGTGAAGGAGGGGTTGAAAAGGGATGGGATAGTTTTAAAAATGCAGTACAGTATTAGAATGTGGGGTAGAAGTTAGTGGCTGTAGGAGAGTGGGTGCAAGAGGAAAGAGGAGTGATTGGTGGAATGATGAGGTAAAGGGTGCGATAAAAATAGAAGAAGGTAGCTTATGAGAGGTTTTTAAAAAGAAGTGATATGAAAAGGGCAGAGTATATGGAGAGTAAATGAAAGGTAAAGAGAGTGATGAGATAGTGCAAAAAGAAAGCAAATGATAGAGTGGGAGAGGCACTGTCAAGAAATTTTGCTGAGAATACAAAAAAGTTTTGGAGATAAGTTAAAGCCTAGAGAACTAATGGATTTGTCAGTTAAAAACAGAGTAGGGGAGTTAGTAGATGGGGAGCTGGAGGCATTGGGTAGATGGTGGGAATATTTTGAGGAAAGGGAGGCAGTTATTTCATGCACTGGCCAGGGAGGTATAACATGTTTTAGGAGTGAAGAAGAGCAAGACGTGAGCATGGGGGAGGTGCCTGAGGCATTACATAGAATGAAAGGGGGTAAAGCAGCTGGAACTGTTGGGATCATGACAGAAATGTTAAAAGCAAGGGGAAATATAGTGTTAGAGTGGTTGCTATTTTTGTTTAATAAATGTATGAAAGAGGTGAAGGTACCTAGGTATTGCCAGAGGGCATGTATAATTCCTTTATATAAAGGGAAGGGGGAGAAAAGAGATTGTAATAATTATAGGGGAATAAGTCAAGTGGTAAAGTGTATGGTTGGGTTATTATTGAAAAAATTAGAGGTAAAACAGAGAGTAGGATTGCAGATGAGCAAGGAGGCTTTAGAATGGGTGTGGGATGTGTAGATCAGGTGTTTATATTGAAGCATATATGTGAACAATATTTAGATAAAGGTGGGGAAGTTTTCATTGCATTTATGGATTTAGGAAAAGGCATATGATAGAGTGGATAGGCATACAATGTGGCAGATGCTGCAAGTGTATGGAATAGGTGGTAAGTTGCTAATTGCTGTAAAGAGTTTTTGAGCATAGTGAGGCTTAGGTTAGGGTGTGTAGGAGAGAGGGAGGTTACTTGCTAGTAAAAGTAGGTCTTAGACAAGGGTGTGTAAGTTCACCATGGTTGTTTAACTTGTTTATAGATGGGGTTGTAAATGAAGTAAATGCTAGGGTGTTGGAGAGAGGGGTAGGATTAAATTATAGGGAATCAAGTACAAAATGGGAGTTGACACAGTTACTTTTTCCTGATGATACTGTACTTTTGGGGGATTCTAAAGAAAAATTGCAAAGGTTGGTGGACGAGTTTGGGAGGGTGAGTAAAAGTAGAAAGTTGATAGTGAACATAGATAAGAGTAAGGTGATGAGGGTATCAAACAATTTAGATAAAGAAAAATTGGATATCACATTGGAGGGAGGGAGTATGTAAGAAGTGAATGTTTTCTGATATTTGGGAGTTGACTTGTCAGCAGATGAGTTTATGAAGGATGAGGTTAACAATAGAATTGATGAAGGAAAAAAAGGTGAGGGGTGCATTGAGGTATCTGTGAAGACAAAGTATGTTATCCATGGAGACAAAGAAGGGAATGTACGTGAGTATGGTGGTACCAACACTCTTATATGGGTGTGAAATATGGTTGTAAATGCTGCAGCGAGGAGGCTGTGGAGATGTCATGTCTAAAGGCAATGTGTGGTGTAAATATTATGCAGAGAATTCGTAATGTAGAAATTAGGAGGATGCGTGGAGTTATTAAAAGTATTAATCATAGTGCTAAAGAGAGGTTGTTGTGGTGGTTTGGTCATTTAGAGAGAATGAAACAAAGTAGAATGACTTGGAGAAGGAAGGTGGGGTAAGGGTCATCTCCGACCAGGTTGGAGGGAGGGGGTAAAGGAGGTTTTGTGGGCGAGAGGCTTGGACTTCCAGCAAGCATGTGTGAGCATATTAGATAGGAGTGAATCGAGACGAATGACCTATGGGACCTGACGAGCTGTTGGAGTGTGAGCAAGATAATATTTTGTGAAAGGATTTGGGAAAATTGGTTAACCAGACTCGAGTCCTGGAAATGGGAAGTACAATGCCTACACTTTAAAGGAGGGGTTTGGGATACTGGCGGTTAGAAGGGACGTCTAAGCTGTCATATCTGAGCGCCTCTGCAAAGACAGTGATTAAGAATGAGTGATGGTGAAGGTGTTGAATGATGATGAAAGTTTTTTTTTTTTTTTTCTTCTTTTTGGGGGTCACCCTACCTCAATGTGAAATGGCCGACGTATTGAAAAAATCAAACAATAGGACCATGAATGTAACTAATTGTGTAAATTATAAATCATTCAAATGCAAACTCATCTGTTTATGCAGCTTACTAGTAAATTTAATGTAATAATACAGGTATATTGAAAGCAGAGAAATTTAAGGTTTCTTGTCCCATTCTCTCTTGTTCATAATTTAGTTCAGAAGGTCTAGTGCCATATTACAGTGTCAAGAGCAGGACCAGCACCAGAATATCTATACTTGGGGGTGAACTTAGAGGTGGCTGTCTGGTTACAAAGGGGGGGGGGGAGCACCAGAATATCTATACATACTTGGGAGGAACTTAGGGAACTTTCGTTGGTTGCAAGGTGGGCTAGGAGAATTGTTTTGAAGCAGTGTTATTATTACTCTTTTTCACTGGGGGATAAGGTGAATTTTTGGATAGCTGAACTTTTTATATTGGAGGTTAACTTTCATAATATTAACGGTGTCGTAACACTGACTTTTGGATATTACTACACTGTACCAATAATTACAAAATACTTAATAAGAGGATAGAGACATTATGGGACTACATGCTATGTACGTATTAGTATTATAAATTGTGTTCATTATAAAAGCAGTACAGGGACGTGTAACCAGACACTGTATTCAGATTTATATGACAACAGTAAGAGTAATTATAAACGTAGTAGGTTGGTAGACAGCAACCACCCAGGGAGGTACTACTGTCCTGCCAAGTGAGTGTAAAATGAAAGCCTGTAATTGTTTTACATGATGGTAGAATTGCTGGTGTCTTTTGTCTGTCTCAAATATGCAAGATTACAGGTACGTCTTGCTACTTTTACTTACACTTAGGTCACACTACACATACATGTACAAGCATATATATACACACACCCCTCTGGGTTTTCTGCTATTTTATTTCTAGTTCTTGTTCTTGTTGTTTATTTCCTCTTATCTCCATAGGGAAGTGGAACAGAATTCTTCCTCTGTAAGTCATGCGTGTTGTAAGAGGCGACTAAAATGCCGGGAGCAAGGGGCTAGTAACCCCTTCTCCTGTATATATTACTTAATGTACAAGGAGAAACTTTCATTTCTCCTTTTGGGCCACCTCGCATTGGTGGGATACGGCCGGTGTGTTGAAAGAAAGAAGAAAGAGTAATTATGCTAGTACAGTGGACCCCGGTTAACGATTTTAATCCGTGCAAGAGGGGTAATTGTTATGCGAAATAATCGTTATGTGAATGAATTTTCCCCATAAGAAATAATGGAAATAAAATTAATCCGTGCAAGACACCCAAAAGTATGAAAAAAAAATTTTTTTACCACATGAAATGTTAATTTTAATACACACAAACTGAAAAAGGCATGCACACTTACATGACACTTACTTTTATTGAAGATCTGGTGATGATTGATGGGATGGGAGGAGGGGAGAGTGTCGAACTTATTGTTTAGAAGGGGAATCCCCTTCCATTAGGACTTGAGGTAGCAAGTCCTTTTCCGGGGTTACTTCCCTTCTTCTTTTAATGCCACTAGGACCAGCTTGAGAGTCACTGGACCTCTGTCGCACAACAAATCTGTCCATAGAGCTCTGTACCTCCCGTTCCTTTACGATTTGTCTAAAATGGGCCACAACATTGTCATTGAAATAGTCACCAGCATGGCTTGCAACAGCTGTGTCAGGGTGATTTTCATCCATAAAGGTTTGCAGTTCAACCCACTGTGCACACATTTCCTTAATTTTTGAAGTAGGCACAATGGATTCCACAACTGGCATAGGCTTCTCAGGGTTAGCCCCAAACCCTTCAAAATCTTTCTTAATTTCCATACTAATTCTCACCCTTTTTACCACAGGGTTGGCATTAGAAGCTTTCTTGGGGCCCATGGTCACTTATTTTCCAGAAACAGCACCGAAAACACTGTAATAATACGAAATATTCCGAGTGTATGCTTGGATGTTACCGCGGAGGCTGGCTGGTAAACAATGGCACGGGCGGCACATGTGAGGCTGGCTGAGGGCGCACATTGGACGCGTCTCGGACGAAAATCGGTGAGCGGGTTTTTAATCGGTATGCGCGGCAAAAATTTTGCGATTAAAGTAAGCGGTATGCGGAATAATCGCTATGTGATGCCATCGTTATGCGGGGGTCCACTGTATATAGTACATACAGTATAATACAAGGAAAGGATTGCAGAAATACAGGCTATGAACTTGAAATTATACCCAGCACATTATGTTTGAAAATGCTTTTTTTTTTATACTTTCTCAGATACACAAACCCAGTACCATTACATTAATAATACAGTACTACCCATCTGGTGCATGTCTTACTCAACCTCATAAACCTAAATTTAGGGCTGTTTTGTTATTTATCTCCATAGATGCCTAATACAGTATGTATTTGTAATTTCCTTGTATTTTTCGAATAACTTGCTACCTCATCAAGAAGAGAAACTCACAGAGAAGTCCTTTATGAAGGAATGAAATAGTAGGTTTGAATGGCTGCTATTTTATTTAATTTCCATTTCAGGTCCTAATCCATTCATGAGATACATTGGCTTTGCTGAATTGGCAGCCAATGCTTGGTCTGCTGCAGCCTTGGAATCAATTTTAAGAATAGTAGCTGTTGCCCCAGAGCTGTTTTTTGCCCATTATTCCCTAAAAATGGATTGGATACGGGTAAGCTTTTTAATACTGTATTGCAAACCTAAGAAGCTCTGTATAATGTACCATGTTATGATAAACATTATATAAAAGTGTCAGTAGCCTGAGGTAAAATATAGACAGTTACATAACATAATAATTAACCCTTCAACTGTCCAAACGTAGATTAACCTTTTGCTCATGTAGCGCTCCGAATGTAGATCAGCGTTTTATTTTTCACTCCTTCAGAAGTTGGGCAATAGGCCTGAATTGCCTAGACATGAGAGAATGGGTCTTAACACTCAGTGTTCACAGTATTAAAAAAATCTGAGACCACTTAGTACCTAGTGGGAGCACCAGTTCAATTGAGTGCCAGCTAGAGCAAATAGCATGGCAAAACACCAGGGATTCACTGATGTCATGTTGCATTAACACTCCCCCTTTAAGAGGAAACTAAAATTAGGTTAGATAAATACATGAGTGTAGACAGCAACCGCCCAGGGAGGTACTACCGTCCTGCCAAGTGAGTGTAAAACGAAAGCCTGTAATTGTTTTACATGATGGTAGGATTGCTGGTGTCCTTTTTTCTGTCTCATGAACATGCAAGATTTCAGGTACGTCTTGCTACTTCTACTTACACTTAGGTCACACTACACATACATGTACAAGCACATATATACACACCCCTCTGGGTTTTCTTCTATTTTCTTTCTAGTTCTTATTCTTGTTTATTTCCTCTTATCTCCATGGGGAAGTGGAACAGAATTCTTCCTCCGTAAGCCATGCGTGTTGTAAGAGGCGACTAAAATGCCGGGAGCAAGGGCCTAGTAACCTCTTCTCCTGTATATATTACTAAATGTAAAAGGAGAAACTTTCGTTTTTCCTTTTGGGCCACCCCGCCTCGGTGGGATACGGCCGGTGTGTTGAAAGAAAGAAATACATGAGTGGGTGTGGGTGGGTGTGAGTTGGACCTGACTAGCTGGTGCTGCTAGGTCTGATGCCATGCTCCTTCCTTCAGTGGATGTGACTTGACTAGGTGGGTTATTGGTCTAAGCCAGGGGGTGACATGGACCTGACTTGCATGGGCCAGTAGGCCTGCTGCAGTGTGCCTTCTTTCTTGTGTTCCTATGTATTCGGCTGGCTGGCTGGCTTTGGCTGTCTCAGGCTGTCTTTCTGTCTATATCACTGTCTACCTGTCTATATCTCTCTCTCACATGTACACATAAGTACAGTTATTATACATAGTGTAAATTACCTAGGATAACCCAAAAATTCCAGGCAAAGTGCTATACTGTGCTTGTAAATATAAAACATAAATAACTATGATGCAATATGCATTTTTACTTGCTCAGGAATGAGGGAGCAGCTCGTAAACCAATAATTTTACGATGAGACAGAGACAAGCAGACGGAAAGGCAGACACACACAGGCAGACAGAAAGACAGATGAGCAGAGCTAGACAGACATAAGCAGAGCCAGACAGACAGACAGACGTGTTTGTGTGTAACAGTGAAAGCAAATAAAGTGAGGGTTCCCTGAATGCACGTTCATCAAATGGCATGGCAAAACACCAGGGATTCACATGATGTCATGTCAGCAGGTTACTGACACTTCTCATAACATCATGCTTGAAGGTATACTCCAGCATGTCTAAAACATTGCTGGGACCTATAAATACTTTGTATATGTTTCTAGACAATAGTAAATGACCCAGGCAGGTGGAAATCTTCACCTGTCTGTGTGATTGTGACTATTTGAGTACTATTTCAGTACCTAATATTAGTGTCAGGACAAAGATTGGCTATGAAATCACAAGAACTATTATAAATTGTAATTATCAGAACATAAAAATATATAATTTAAAATAAAAACGAGAAAAAAAGGTATACATGTACAGTGGACCCCCGGTTAACGATATTTTTTCACTCCAGAAGTATGTTCAGGTGCCAGTACTGACCGAATTTGTTCCCATAAGGAATATTGTGAAGTAGATTAGTCCATTTCAGACCCCCAAACATACACGTACAAACGCACTTACATAAATACACTTACATAATTGGTCGCATTTGGAGGTAATCGTTATACGGGGGTCCACTGTATTGGCAACACTTCTGCAAGTGGCAGGAGTCAATGTTGCCATCAGGTGAGCATCCAGTGCTAACTTCATGGGCCTATATCTTGCTAAGTGCTGACCCTAGATTTTTTTTTTATAGCATGTAGAAAAATGCACTCTTCATTTAATTTTTTTTTTTTTTTTCAATCAGAGCGCTATATGAGTGACCGTAGATCTACGTTTGGACAGTTTTAAGGGTTAAAAAAAATAGTTAATAAGAGGTATTTTTTTTATTTCATCTAGGATGATTGGTTGAACTGGGTAGCCCCCAGTAAGGGGGCTACCCAGGTTTACAGATGGTTTTTAGAATACCTCTTCATGGATTTAAACTTTGTAATTTTTACACAGGTTGTTAAAATAGTTTCCTAATGAAATTTGGTAGGATTCATGTGGCTATTTAAGCAACCCATTTCTCATCAGTTGTGAAAAGGGTATTCATAATGGCACACTGAGGTGACCACTAAGCAGAATTATAGCAAACTTGCTTTTCTTTTTCCAGTTGAAGATTATGTGCAGGGTAGTCTCTCTTGAAATTGCAGGCCCAGAAATTTGGTACCCAAGCAAATTTTTTAAAAATTTTAGCATTTTTGGTACTATTTGGGAGCTACAGCATCTCAAAAATAGTTTAAAATTATCACATAAAATTTATTATCTGTATACGTTGGTTAAACAGGTTGGCCATCACTAATCCAGCAGTCAGTTATCCGCTTCCATCAGTAATCCAGCACTAATTTTGATTAGCATAATGTCAAATTTCTGGGGTCACCACACCAACCTGCTGCTAATGTTTGGTGGTGCTGCTTGCTGCATAAGTCATTTCAATTTCGTTTTCTCCATTTATTGTTATAACCTGCTCACTTTTACCCCTAGTCATGGTTTCAATGAATAAAAGAAATGCTTCTTGTTGTGTAAAGCACCTACACCGTACATTGTCCATAAAAGATAAGGTGGCTTTGAAGCCACTATCAGTTGCTATGAGCTCCTGAGTCTTGTGATGTGGGGAATACGCTGTATTATTATACTAATATCAACACTACTGCTTATTTACCTATCACAAATGAACTAATATGACATAATAAACAATATAAATAACATAAAATCATGGTAAATACTCCTGAATGAATAATAGTAATAATAATAATAATAAAGGATATGGGATAACAGTGCCATTGTCTCATCCCTGTCTTGGGGGCTTATATTAAGAGAAAACGTAGTGTAGTACAGGACTAACTATGATATGCACTCTTTTTCGTTCTTCTTCTTCTTCTTCTTCTGTTGGGTTTCAGGGCCACTGACAGCATACGCTGTATCGAGCCTGGCCGTCCAGTGCTAGGAGAGGGAATATCAACCAAAGTGGAAGAATGTCTTGACTAATAACTATGTATCATATGTCTATGATACGCCCTGAAGCCAGCAGGAAGGAGCAGGTACAGGCCAATATCTCCTGACGGTCCAGAGGGCGAAACCCCTCCCCGTTGAGGAGGACAGGTCGAGTGAAAGTGTGCACCCCAAGTGTGCGCAAGGCCGCACGGAGAGTAGTCCGTGCAGAGTGATAATGTGGGCACCACAGCAGAAAGTGTTCCACCGTCTCAGGCTGTGAGGGACACCACGGGCAATACGGAGAGTCCGTCATCCGAAGGCGATATAGATGAGCCGCCAGTCGCGAGTGCCCGACTCGAAGGCGAGTCAGTGCAACGTTCACCTAGCGGTTGGGATGGCGAGCCCAAGGGCAGAGGCCATTAAAAGTTCGGACAGAGCCCAACCCCGAAGAAGAGAGGGAATGTGCAAGGCCCTCTTGCCACTGATGACGGATTCCCTTCCAAACAGCCCTTGTGAAATCACTGTGGCCCAGGGCAAGAGGGGTAACAGTAGGAAGTGTGTGCGCGAGGGAGGCCGCCCGATCTGCCACTTCATTACCCCAGATTCCAACATGGGCGGGAACCCACTGAAGGGAAATGCTCCAACCTGGGCTCCGCAAGAAGCACAGGAGGAGAGATTGTGTCCGACGAACGAGGACGCGCAGTGATCATGGACGGGCAGAGCACAAAAGTGCCAGGGAAGATTGGGAATCTGAGAAGAGAACCAATGGTTGTGGGGGAATGTGATCTAGGACAAAAGCCAGAGCCTGATGAATGGCGAAGAGCTCCCCTGCCAGAACAGAATGAGCAGGGTCCAGTCGCCACGTTTGACACAGGGAGAGATTAGTGAAGAAGGCCGCAGATGATGTGGAAGGGGGGGAGGACCGTGCCGAGCCATCCATGTAGATGGAGAATGAAGAGCCGTATGTAACAGAGTGAAACTCTTCAAATAGAAATGCAGCTAACTGAGAGGGTTCCCTGTTCCTGTAGTGCCAATCCAGGTGAATGTATCGTGTCAGGTCCAGCCAGGGGGGTGCCGGAGAGGGGAGGGAGTCATCACAAGTGCAGGAAGAGTAAGGCAGGACAGGGAACGCTGGGCCCTGGCTACAAAGGAAGGCTGAGCCAAACGTGGGGGAACAGAGGCTGTCTCCCACATCTGTGAAGAGAGGCAACAGGGGTGAGTACAAGGCAGAGAGGCCATATGATGGAGTCATAAACAGTTCCTCGCTGTCCTCACCGACGAGAGAGGGACTATCCCCGACTCTGCCCCCAAGGCTGCGATAGGGGTGGAGGGGAATGCCCCCAGCATATTATGGATGGCTGAATTCTGGAGAATGTCTAAGCGATGAAGAGAGGAGGAAGAAGCCGAGCCATACACCTCACTTGCATAAGTGAGCTTGCTGCAAACCATAGCTATATAGAACTTATAGAGAAGGTCTCGATCTTCTCTATATCTTAACGTAGCGACATTAATAATGATAGGAATGCAATGAATTTCACAGACAACATAAAAGAACCCCATAAAAAGACCCCAATGGAAATAAGTCACTTTGTCTGGCTTTTTT